GATTATTGACATATAGAGATGATTCATTCGTGCTTCGATTGAATCCATTTTGGATGAAATAGCTATTGATTTTGCAATTCCATGCTCGCGGCGCTTGCTTTAAACCATAAAGTGCCTTGTATAAACGATAGACTTTTCCTTCTTGTCCTTTGATTTCAAATCCTTCGGGTTGCTCGACATAAACTTCTTCTTGAATTTCACCATTTAAGAATGCCGATTTTACATCAAGTTGATAAACACATACACTGCCAGTGCCAAAACAGTACGAATTGTCTCCATTCTTGCAACCGGAGCATATGTTTCAGTGTAATCAATTTCGGGCTGTTGAGAATACCCTTTTGCAACAAGACGTGCTTTGTGCTTTTGGATCGACCCATCTTCATTGTATTTTATTTTATAGACCCACTTGAGTCCAATGATTTTCTTCCCTTCTGGCAAGGCAACAAGCTTCCAAGTTTTGTTTTTCTCGATTGTGGACATTTCTTCATTCATGGCTTTTGTCCAACATACTTCTTTTGAGGCTTCTTCAAATGATTGTGGTTCACTAGAGAACAACCCAAGTTCACATGACTCATATATGTCTTGTAGTGAACGTGTCTTTCTTGGAGGGCTTTCTGGATCAGATTCTTCCTCACTTCTTGGAGTAGGGTTTGGATTATGCTCTAAATTTCCAACTTGTGACGGACCTGCTTGAAATGTTAATGGATCAACAAAATGGTATGGTGTCTGGTCCACAACTTCTTTCCCTTTCCAATCCCAAGATGCAGCTTCATCAAAAACAACGTCTCGTGAAACTGTAATTTTGTTTGTAGTTGGATCTAATAACCGATATCCTTTAGATTCATCACTATATCCAACAAAGACAAGTTTTTGTCCTTTCTCGTCAAATTTCTCCCGATTTTGAGAAGGGATAAGAGCATAAGCAATGCTGCCAAATATTTTGAAGTGATCAACCATTGGCTTCTTTTTGTTCCAAGCTTCGTATGGAGTTTTATTCCGTACAGCCTTTGTTGGAGACCGATTGAGAATGTATACTGCCGTATTTACAGCTTCTGCCCAATACAGATTTGGAAGTCCTTTGCCCTTTAGCATGCTTCTTGCCATTTCAACAATTGTGCGATTTTTTCTTTCGGCCACGCCGTTTTGTTGCGGAGTTCGACTCACAGTTAATTGTCTTTTGGTGCCATTTTTTCTGCAATATTCCATGAAAGGATTATAGAGATATTCACCTCCACGATTGGTCCTTAAAGTTTTTATCAAAAAACCACTTTGCCTTTCTGCTTGAGCTTTGAATTGAAGAAATGTGGAATATGCCTCAGATTTTTGACTGAGGAAGAAAACCCATATCATTCTTTTGAAGTCATCAACAAAGAGAATAAAATATCTCTTGTTTCCAAAAGTGGGAGTTTGCATTGGCCCACAAATATCCGAGTGCACAAGCTCAAGTGGTGTTTCGTTCTCCATGAAGTTTTTGGAAACGACAACTTGTGCAATTTCCCATAGACGCATCCTTCGCACATTTTGTCTATGTGTTGGATGTTAGGAAGTCCCGTCACCATGTTTTTCATTTGGAGTAAACGAAGGCCTTTTTCATGAAGATGACCATATCGTAAATGCCACAAATACGCCAAATCTTCGTCTCTTGCCTTGAGTGCACAATTCTCATTTAGTGGCATCATAAGAGGAAATGTCTTGTTCTTCATTTCAATATTTGCCACACAAATATTTTTCTTTTTGTCAAAAACTTTACATGCACCATCATCAAAGTGGACAGAGAAGTCACTTTGAATAAGTTGTCCAACACTTAGGAGATTATGAGAAAGATTGGGAACATAAAGAACATCTGTGATGAGTTTCTTGTTACCTTCTTTAATTTGGACAGCAATGGTGCCTTTTCCTACCGCATCTCTACATGTTCCATCGCCAAGAATTACTTGTGAAGTAATATTTGGATTAAGGTCCACAAAGATGTCGCGATTCCCCGTCATGTGATTGCTACAACCGCTATCCAAATACCAAGGGCTTTGAGCTCCATTTTCATAATTTTGAGAATAAAACAGAATTTCCTTTTCATTCTCTTGAGAAAAGTTTGCTGCACTTTTTCTTTCTGTTATCTCTTTATTTTGAAACCAACAATCCCTTTGAGAATGATTGGGGATCTTGCACCTTTTGCATCTAAAGTAGCACTCCTTTGATTCATGATTCATTTTTTTGCAAATTATGCAAGTTGGATTTTTACCACCAGAAATTTGTGTTTGCTTGCCTTTCGATTTGCTTTGCTTGTCACCCTTCTTCCAATAGCTATCTTTTTGTTTTGTTTGATTTGAGCCTCTGTTGTGTTCTCCATAGTTGTTCGATCCTCCTTTTGATGTTTGCTTTGATTGGAAAGCTTGTTCGGTAGTGGATTGGTTACTCGAACGATTGATCATTTGCTCATGGGCAAGAAGTGACCCGGTTAACTCATTGGTCATTTTGGACAAGTCTTTCGATTCTTCAATTGCGGCTGCAACATGGTCAAACTTTGGAGGAAGGCATCTTAACATTTTCTCCACGACTCTTTTATCTGTAATTGTGTCACCACAGCTTTTGATTTGATTTACTGTCTCGGCTACTCGTGAAGAAAAAACACGAACCGATTCTCGTTCTTCCATTTGGAGATTATCAAAGTCTCTCCATAAGGATTGAAGTTCAAGGCGATCGTTTTCTCCGTTCCTTAAAATTCTTGCATCAATATTTCCCAAGCATCTTTGGCTTTTTTAACACCAAAGATACGAGGGAAAATTGATTTCCCGACTCCTTGTTGAATATAGCGGAGAGCCATTGCATCTTTTCTTTTAAATTCTTTTTGCAATTTTTCGTAATCTTCATTGTCTTCGGATAGTTCTTCGTACTCCTCACCGTCAATGACATCCCAAAGATCTAAGGAGATGAAGAAAGTTTGCATTTGGATGCTCCAGTATTCATAATGCTCGCCTTCGAAGATTGGGATTTGACTGGAAGAATATGTAAACAACGAAGCTGTTTGTATGAAAGCCATGAAAAAATGCAATCACAAGTTATGGCTCTGATACCAAATTTGTTAGTGCGGAAACGAAGTGTTGAAGAAAAACTTGAATTTTTATTGATAGTTTTTGAGTTGCTATAGCACACTCAATAATGTTTTCTTCTTTTTTTTCTTACAATGAGACTACAAGAATGACCTCTATTTATAGGACCACATGGATAACTCTAGAGACATGGGAATATAAATGGACATCTAATAATTCATGAATTTGCATCATGTATTTTCCTGATACATTTTCTTCAAGTGCATCATGTATTTTCCTGATACATTTTCTTCAAGTGCGTGTAACCTTATTTATTTCCTAAGATTACAAATTAATGCCACATTTAACACCGTTACCTTGAGTTATTGATTCAACCAGGCGATTACCTAATTAATGTTTTCCACCAGATGACAACAGTTGATTTTGCCACCAGCTGGTGCGTGCTATGGCTTCTTTGTGGGCGAGTAAGAAAGGAGTATTTCTACATTGTTTTCTCTACTTAATAGGGACAATGCAATTATTATATATTAAGGACTGTTGATAATGGGCTACTGGTAGCAGGATTGTCGAAGCAACTTGGGGGAGGATTTATGCTGGAGGTGGTTGAGATACTAGTGTTGAGGAATTGGCTCTCCTTTTATTAGAACGGTGTATTCAGATTTATGTTTCTGAATGTGATGCTGCTCTTGTGGTGAATGAGCTAAAATTCTATCTTATCTTTCACGAATTTTTCCAATCTTAATAGATCCCGTAATTTCTTTCACTTTGGTAGAAAAGGAAGAAGGGGCCTAGCTTGCTTTGGCTCTTTTCCTTCCCCCGATGTGGGTTGCTTTCACCAATAAATATTGGTTATATTTCTTTATGTTATCTGTACCAATATAATAGTTCTTTTGAGGTTGGTTGTGACACTTGTTATTTCATACCTCGGGAGAGAAATGAGTAGCCTCCACACTACCCTCGTTAGCTACCACTTCGTGGGATGATGCGAATAAGTGGACTAATTGTAGACAACTTTTTGCTTTTCCTATTGTTCGAGGCGACCTATTTTAATGAGGTTTTCATTTTACTTGAAAAAATATTGCGGATCTCGAAGCATATAGGATTGCAAAATAGTCCCCCCCACCCTCGATAGGCTTTAAGAAAAACTTCGATTTTAAATACAAGCACAACTATTTTTCAACTATATATTATCTTCATACATTTTATCATCTTGACAATGGTTGCTTCCATTAATATAAACTTTAGTACCAACAACCATGTTGGCAAAAAAGTAGAAATGAAAATAATAACACCAAAAGATATAATGTGGTCTCAGAAGTATGCCTGCTTCCAAACAAGGGAAGAGAATTATTGATATAATTACTCTATAAGTCTGTATAGTTGCACAATATTAACAAAGTCAGAATTATTATACTCAACAAGTCAATATAAGTCACACAAAATTAAAAAAAATCACATCTCAAAGCATGGAGAACTTCAAATATCATCTTTTACCTTTCTACATTCTTTCAGAAAATCAATATCAAATGATTGTCATTTCAGCTCTAAATTCAAAATTATAAAAATTAATTTTTCCACAATTTGATAAGCCAAAATTTTCTTAGCACTACAAGAGACGGTTATTGTTTTAGACCTGAACAAATAATTCAATTTATTGAAGCACTCAGAAGAAAGTTTCAACCTACAATTAGAGTCTGCTTGGGCCATTGGAAATAATAATAGCTCAACCCACAAAGCAATAATTCGAAAATGTGTTGCCACTAAACACTTCTGATTTCCCTTTTTTGAGAACTTCTCTCTAGGAAAAAGAAAATTGCAATAAATCAGAAACACGTCTCTATCACCACGTAGAAACAAAGTGAAAAAATAATAACGTAAGATATAGCGTTAGCTACATATTTATTAGAGAAAAATAATATCATACGATATAGGGTTAGGAAGATATTTACCAGAGAGGATGAAGCTTCATTACTAAAATTCTTCGATTATATAGTTACAATAAAGTGACTACAAGAAACAAAAATCCAATATGAACAAACTATTGAGCATCTTTAATGGAATTCTGGGATAAAACCAGTGCTCTTTACCTTTTGTAACACACTTCTTAAAAGAAAACAAATGTTGAAGGCAAGATGTAGATATGCTTATTGTTAGGTAACTTCAAGCTCAGAACATGCCCTACCAAGTTTACCCCTTTGATGATTGATGCAACAGATGATAATTGAAAAAATTAATTCTCCATATTAATCACATTAAACAGTCTCTCACGCAATGCTGATAGATCGATGCACATTAGTACCGTGGCTTTGGCCTGCAAAAAAAGGACTATTTAGCTATTAACCATCTCATCTAAAGACATTATAGAGAAAATAATTTTATGAGTTTAAATTGGTGTCAAGCGTGCCTCCTCTTATATAGGTCAAATTCTGTTTTTCAAAGGCTAATATGTGCACAATTTATCATAAAAAGTGGCCGTGTGACATTTGCCTCCTCGAATATGGAGTTAAACCAAGCTTAAACTGTTAGAGGGTAGATGGCAATTTTTAATTTAATTTTTCTTAAAAAATTTGGGAATTTGTAAAGATATATAGAACAGGTGAAATCATATATATGTTTACCTCAAACTGAATTCTGTGGAGGAACCTTTGATCATTTGTTTTTGTAGAAACACAGCTTACAACATTGAGATTTGTCCTAATCAATTCCCCAAGAACTCTTGACAGAGGAAACCCTCCCTCTATTGAGCTAGTTCTTATCAAAACCTCGACACCATCTTGGCAAGGACTCACTGTCACACTATTAGGCATTAAATTACTGTTTGAGCCTGAAGTATACAATTTTTTTAGCTTGTCTCTACACAAGCTCAGTTCTTGAATATTCTTCCGCATGTCTTTTATGTAATTCAAAGCTTCGTTCATGTGATCACATACAGCACGCTTCCCCTACAACACCACGGACATGAACTAAATTTATAGCAAATTAGAATATACAATGTTTGGTAGAGATGATTGGTAGCAATCAACTGTAATGAATAAAAAGAAAGGCTAAAATCTTGTTAATTAGTTCACCTTGATATATTCAAGAGGAAGAAGGGATCGAAGCGAAGCATAAAGCTTTGCCATTTGTTTCCTTCTTTGCCTCTCAAATTCTCTATGCGGAACTTTCTTGCCCTTGTTTTCAGCACTAACCCCTTCCTTGTTTTCTTCATCATCTGAAGATGGTTTTATTTGCCGCTTTTTTGTATCTTTAGGATTAGCACAACTACGGTTTCTGGTCAGCACTGAAGAATCTTGATGATCTGCAATCAGATATTCTTCTAGGTTTACTATATCTTCTAGGATTATTGAAGGGTCCTCAAAGATCGGATCGTCTTGTGACTGTGAAGGAAACATCTCAATTAGCAAGTTTTCAAGAATATTTCAAAGGTTTTCTTGAAAATGCATCCCTATGTAATAAAAATACTTATAGAGGATGACCACTCTAATTATACCAAAAGCAATCATCACATGACTTATTAGGGTGTACAGTAGTATTTATATTTATTTATAGGAATGGTTAAACATAATTACTTTATTTAATCACGGATGATTGATACATTAAATGACATCTTTGTGGGAATCAGAATCATTTCACTATTCTGTAATTTGTCTATAAATAATGCTATTACTGCTATTAGAGCATTAGTTTAAATGGTATTCTGTGACCGACTTAATTAAATGTAAAATTATATGATTAATTTAATTGTGCATCTCATTTAATGTCAGTTAGCGTCGCTCAATGCTTTCAAAATTGACCTAGGCTTCGACCTAAAAAAGGTTAAGGGATAAGTCAAAAGATTTAATTGAGATCGAACTAGATACAATAATTAAATACACGTACAAATAAAAAAAATACTATGTCTATATTGACACCATAATTTTTATTTGTTACATCACATTTTAATTACAGTTAAACTCATAAATCTTTACTCATTATAGTAATTATTTTCTTAATTTTTTCCCTTCAAATTCTTATATTCAACCTCCCATTGATTAGTATATCTCGTTCTTGATGATGATTTACATAAAAAATAATTTGTTTTCATGCTTTGAAATGAGGGAAAATTATTTTTTCGAACAATTTATTTATATATTAAAACGATGGGAAAATAAGTTATTTTACTCAATTTTAATGGATTTTTGGACATACAATTGTTATTAAATACAAATTGTGTAACATTAATGGAAAGTTTGAGAATAAAAATGATATAAAAAACTGTCATGGATATTTGTGCTAAAATTTGTTAAGATTAAGAATCTTAAAGAAATAAAAATTGTGGTGTTAATATAATTAACTTTTATTTATTGGACTTTTATTTTAATGCATAAGTCCAATGATAAAGTTCAATTTTTTAAATTAAAATAGCTGAAAAAATAGGAAAATCGTTTTCGGTTATTAACATATAATTTGCCTAGCTTTGGGTCTGATTCCTTGTTCCACCAGTTGAACGGGGCGGGGTGGGAAGAATTTTAATGATATCAGTGGAACTAGAATAGTGTTTTAATACTTGCTATGTTATGGCATTAATCTTTATCTGGTATGAGAAGATGAGCAAACCGAGATGATATAACATATGTTTGCCGACATAGGATTTCAAAATCAAACAGAGGGTGGTACCCATAATCGATAGTTGAAGTTTTCCCAGAGGCGTGGTTCGAAAGTTGAGATTTGAAAGATTAAAATAGAGAATAAATATTTACCATTTTCAACTTTTACAACAAAGGTGACAGCTACATTTGCTTTTCTTCATAGATAAAGTAAACGCACATGATTTTTATGCAGACCGCTACCAAAATTGCCACTTCGATAGATTGTGATTATCTTTTTATTATGATAAAGAAACATTAAAAAAAAAAAAAATGTGATTTTGATAACTTCGAATAGCTAATTAACTATTTACTAACAAATATTTTTTCGAACAACACTATCTAAGTTAGAAAATAAACTACGGAAAAGATAATAAAATTGTGATTTTATGCTGGCACAAACAAACTATTAATTAGACAAAGTTTGATGTTTATTGTGACAGAATTGCGATAGAATTCCCTTTACAAATAGTACTTGCCGCTAAACTTTCACAATGCTTTCAGCTGCGATTGAACTTTAGAATATTTCACAACCGTTTCTAAAGGTTAACGTACTTGATGACGTGGTAAACAAAAATTTACACATGACATGCTTTCGACATTAGTATATACCATGTCACTAGAATCACATGGCAACATGAGCCAGGAAACATATATTAAGGAAAGTTCATTGAGAAATAGAAAACATCTGAAAAGATATGTGACAACTGATATAGTTAACTTGAGATGACTGTATTATCATAAATTTCTAGCACTCGTGCAAATGGTTTTATAAATTTGATGACACTTTGAAATCTTCCTAAATTAAATCGAACCCTTTTTTTTTCTATAATTAAATTAATAATCAAACGTTTGATTAAGTTTCTCACAATATTGGCTTAATACGTAATAGAATTTGTAACTGTAGCCTACAAGAAATTGAGTCTATTCACACAAATTTTCGATGGAATTTAAAGAAAAGGATTTATTGAAAGTTATATCTTAGGGATTCTTTCTATGGCAACTTTGAAATTTCTTTAATTTTTCAATGAACTGGGGAGTTAATACCCTCGAAAAAGGGTCAGTATCAGCACTTGAAATGCAGTGACCTTCCTACTTTAAACTTGTTAATGGGTCTCGATATATTTGAAGTTGGGTATCAATTCTTGTAGTATAGTGGGCAAATTTTATTTAATTCGTCAATCAAGCAATGGTTATTTCTCTTTGATTATAAATACCCGAACTATTGAAGTTTACCCACGTTAATGGTTGCACGTTAAGAATTGACATTTCGCCTTTTATAATCTTAAGCTTGTATGCTGTATCAATATGGTGTTGCTAAAATTGTAAATTAAGATTGGATTAATAGTAAACATGAGCAGATGCTAAGCCATCAACAATTATAAGCGGGAGAAGATTATTTCAAACCCCGTCTTTTCATTCATTGATAAGTAAGTATCCGAAATTTTTTTTGAAGTTATATTTTTAAATTCTAATTCTCATATAAATTTCACAATTAGACTTGGGAGGACTATCTTGGATGGTTAAAAATAACCACCCCAACAAAATTTTCAAATAACATAAGTCCATACATTACATGAATGATCATACATAGACTTGGGAAACTATTGTTATGCCTCATATCCGAAGCTCTCAGTGGAGACCACGTCAAAGTCACGTCGAGGAACTGAAGAAAGGGAACAAGCTGCTTTTTGGCCGAAGCACTCTCTTCATCCGTAGTTCTTTGGTGAAGCACTCTCTCTCTCTTTGTCAAGGCACTTTCTCTTTTGGCTAAAGGTCTGCACATCCGAAGCTCTCCCTAAAATCGAGACGCTTGTTGCCTTTAATGCAGATCTGAAGAGTAATTGATATAAGGTTTGCATTAATAAGTGTCAGAAACGTCAGCCTAGAGTTTAGGGTGGCTGACCCCCTATCAATATAATTAATGGATGATAGAATGTGATGGGAGGCTTCGTTTGATTGGATGAGGCTACGTGGTTCTGATCTAACGACGACCACGTTGGCCTTAACCCTATAAATAGCAACTCTTGAAACTTGTTAAAGGATGGAAAAAGATATATAATAACTTCATATACTTGAAATTAGAATTCTCTTTTGCTCATCTCTTGGTGATTGAGTTTGGATTCATTTTATTTTGAGAGTTGTTATTGATTGATCTTTGATTATAAAATTACCCTGGATCATATTGTCGATACCCGAACATTTTTGTATCGTGTTATAGAGTATCTTCTACATCCATTATCAACATGATTTTACAATTGTAATTTTGATCAAAACGTGTCGAAATTTGCTCTCATGTACACGAGTGGGCTCGATATGTGTTGTCTGCGTGGCCATTATAGAAAACGGGATCAACAGTTTCACAAGATTAGAGAGTTGATTATTTCAAGGGACACAATTTAACTTGAATCATGAACAACTAGATTTTAAGATCGCTTTTTGAAATGTATATTTAGAGGAAATGTTTACATGAATTTTTTTTAAAATCATTTTATGTACCAAAATAGGAACCAAGTCATCTGAGTAAGAAATTTGGTATTTTTGTATTAGGAATAAGTTTTAAAAAATACGTCATTTTTTGGTCTCCATTATTTTCAAAATACATTTTTCTTTCTCTTATTTTTAATCATACATTTTCAATAAAATAATATTATACGCAAACCCAAAATTTTTTCTTTTTTAACCATATATTCTAATTCAAAATACTATTTCAAAATGCATTTTGAAAAAAATAGGGCTTAAACAAGCTCGTAAGTTAGATATCTTCTTATATTATAGGAAATAAAGATGTTGAAATTTTCTTTAACTTCTATACGTAGATAACATGCTCATAGCCAGTCATAAAAGAGTAAAAAAATTAGATTGGTTAAAGACTTAGGAATGGACATAAAAAGAAATAGAATTTAAAATATTTTATGAAATTCTAGAAAAAATTGCAATGAATGAAGCTAATTCAGTAACTCTTCGCCTTAGGAAATTACTTTAAGTTAATATGTGATCTGTGTCTTTCTAGAGCTGAAGAACTAAAAAGAATGTGTACTGTGTCTTATACAAGTGTTTTAGCAATATAATTTATGGTGTGGTCTTCATAAGCCATTGTTTGGCTCATGTTGTTAGTGTCTTGAGTAGATTTATCTTCAATCTAGGTAAGGACATTGGATTGCTATGAAGTGGCTACCAAAGTACTTAAGGATCATGATGCGCGTTTGATGCATAAACAAAGTGTAAAGTTTGAAAGGTTTGTTGATTTAAACTTCGCTGAGGATATGGAAATTAGGAAGCTACATATTATGGCTTTACCCATTGTAACTCTAGTATCTGCTTGATATCCTAGCGACAAAAAATTGTAATGGTATCCTCCACCGAGGCAAAGTTTATTGTAGCCACTAAAGCTCTAAAAGAAGGTTTATGGTTATGATGTTTGCTTTATGAACTTTGTTACTTAAGGAGGATGTTGTGTTGTATTATGATAGCCAAAGTTCTATTTTTTAAGTAAACTCTAGTTTATCACGGCACAACAAAGCGTATAGATGTTAAGTTTCATATCATAAGAGATATAATCTCTATAAGTTTGATTAAACTAGAATTTATCGTCACAAAATTCAACCTGTGTTTATGCATATTAAGGTGTAACCACTTGGAAAGTTTAGAAATTGCAGAACTTCACTTTACATTTGTTCTGATGGATTTGTACGGGTAAAGAACATATATGAAACAATGAGAGATATAACACTTAGACATTGGTGTTTACATTAAGGTGGAGGTTGTTGGGGCTAAATGTGAACCCAAGAAAGATTGAGGATCAATTATGTAAGTTTGGATGTTACCATCAGTCACTACTAAAAACCAGCTT